TTAGGACATTAAAAACAAAGTGCAACTGTTACTGTGTTCATATTCGTCCCACCTATTTAAACTAAGTGTAGAATAGTTTAAATAAAATGTTACGCTGCATACTACAATTCATAGATGAACGTCTATTCTAAAACTACAATTGGATTAATCAGTGTGATGTTTTATTCTCAGACAGATTACTTGCTACACGACGAGTTCTGTAGAACAGTGGAAGCACATTCCTTTGGAGACTACTTTGGAGTGTGGGTGACTACGTTGCATATCCAAGGCAATCTGGTACTTTTATTGCGGGATGAACACAACTAGCTCTTAGACACACCTAACATTATTTGATTTCCAACACTTAAGTATACTTGTACTATTTTTTTAAACCCATCTTTGAGGAACAAGGGAGCATCTGAGCTCAGCAACTCATTACATGGCTAGACATGCTGTGCTTTCGATGCTGGGTGTTTGGATAAGTGTATGATATGCTCTGTCACTCTTATTTAATACAATCGATTACAATTCGATCAGTAATTAGTTTTATTTTTTAGTTTGTGTAAGAAATGGGCTGCAGAAATACAGCAGAAAGCTTGAAATACGGAGCGTGCGCAGGTAAGTTGTGATTTGAGCATTGGTTTGTTCTTTACTAATGAGATTTATACATTAATATTGTTTTTACAAATTGAACCACTAATTAATCATTTGCTTATAGTTGCCTTCATTTTGGCATATTTTGCATATAGTTGCCTGTAATGTAACAAACTTAATAAGAAACTAATGATAATAAATCGTACTTATCAAATTTGAATTTCTGTAATATGAATAACAAAATCGCACAAAACCGCGGCCCACACAAGTCTATAATACACAGAATATAGAAACAAATCGCTTCTCGTCGGCCTCCCCATGGAGCCTTGAATATACGGCTCCATGGGCCTACTTCACAAGATCGGCGCCTGTCTTTGTTCCAGAAGGCGCTGGGTGCGGCCGTCGCGATGTTGCAGGCTCTCAACCTACTAACTCTTTCACTTCCGACGGCGTCGATATCCGTTTCTGTCTCCTATTTGCCTTCGATTCCGTTTGCTATTGTATTTGAACGTACATTGAAAGTGAGCACTGAAGAAAACTAATTGACAGCCGCAAGTAACGCGTAAAATAGTTAGGTATTATATGAATTTGTGTGGAACGAAAAATTCATAGCAAAACGTCCCACAAACAGGAACTTAATGATGCCCCGCAGTTCCTGAAGAGAGCTTGTAGAAAACAAAATATTCGAAATCCACAAAGTTTTTTCCCCTCTTCAATTGTCTTAAGTCAAACTTTACGTATATAACAGATCAGTTTTCTAATATTCAATGGCTTAATAGTTGAAAGAATAAGATTCGTAATAAGTGTTATTTGAACTTAATTTATTTCTTATTGCATTAGATATTATAAACGTAGTGTACGATATTCGTATCATACTTGGCTGAATATCAAACTCATTCTAATAGTTTTGTTTGACAAT